CATGGGAAATCTAGAGCAATGCCAGGATTAAATGAAAAACTTTTCTGAAAACCTAATGAGTTTCTTTTTTCTCTTTAGAAAAAAAATGTATACCTAATATGAAGTATACCTTGATTATACACATTACCTGAATTATACTTGAGTGACTGACTTTATGTGGCATAAATAAACACCTAAAACATAACACCTGGAACATCTCCCCAGATCTTCCCATGACTACTTCAGATCTCTGATCATATGTTACCTTTTCAGAGAGATTTCTTTGATCACTCTATTTAAAATGTCAAGTGGAAGACATGCACATACACATTCATACACAATCACACAGAAAACTCTTTCCTCTTACCTGTATTTTTTTTCTTTTTAACACTTATTATTTAGCACCATATTATATATGAGTTTATTACATTATTTGTCTTGCTAGACTGGAAACTCCAAGAGAGCAAGGATTTTGTTTTGTTCAAGCACCTAAAACAATGTCTGGCAAATAGGCATTGATACTGTTCAATAAATGACTCAAGAAAATAAGGCTGATTGATAAATAGCAGTGGGTTCCAAGAACAAGTTCTGAAGTAGCAGCTAATATTTATTTTCCAAAAGGAAGTTCAAAGGAAAAAAAAAAGCCATCTAAACTAAGCATTAGCTGTAATACGCTTATGTAATATGTATATTAATGAGATTCTAAAACAGTAATTAAAAACCTTTATTCACATACTTATCAAGTAAAATTGATTTATCAATAATATCTAGAAAGTAAAAACTAATCATTCAACTATATTTACAGTTAGCAATTAATTTTGAGTAAGCAGACAACAAAGAGGACAGTGAAAAAGTTGGCTTAAAGCTCAACATTCAGAAAACTAAGATCATGGCATCTGGTCCCATCACTTCATGGCAAATAGATGGGGAAACAGTGGAAACAGTGGTTGACTTTATTTTTCTGGGCTCCAAAACCACTGCAGATGGTGATTGCAGCCATGAAATTAAAAGATCTTACTCCTTGGAAGGAAAGTTATGACCTAGACAGCATTTTAAAAAGCAGAGACATTACTTTGCCAACAAAGGTCCATCTACTCAAGGCTATGGTTTTTCCAGTGGTCATATATGGGTGTGAGAGCTGGACTGTAAAGAAAGCTGAGCACTGAAAAATTGATGCTTTTGAACTGTGGTGTTTGAGAAGACTCCCTTGGACTGCAAGGAGATCCAAGCAGTCCACCCTAAAAGAGCTCAGTCCTGGGTGTTCACTGGAAGGACTGATGTTGAAGCTGAAACTCCAATACTTTGGCCACCTGATGTAAAGAGCTGATTCATTGGAAAAGACCCTGATGCTGGGAAAGATTGAGGGCAGGAGAATGGGACGACAGAGGATGAGATGGTTGGATGGCATCACCGACTCAATAGACATGGGTTTGGGCGGACTCCGGGAGTTGGTGATGGACAGGAAGGCCTGGCGTGCTGCGGTTCATGGGGTCACAAAGAGTCAGACTGAGTGACTGAACTGAACTGAACTGAAAGCAGACATGAAGAAAAGTTCTACTTGAAAGACAAAAACTCTACATAACACACAGTATTAAAAGAACTCCCTCTGTATTTTTCCCATGATGTGTTTAGATTTTCCCCTTGACATATTTTATTCACCACAGAAATAAACACAACTGATTTTCATCAAACTGCCAAGTGCTACTGGACTGGGTTGTAAAAATGGCCTAAATTGGCCTCAGACGTATGTACATACCTACTCATGAATATATGTATTCAGCCTTGCTCCATGTAATAAAATGGCAACATGTTGATAACCTAAAGCAAGCAAGCAAAGGAGTTTTGGGGTCACCATAAAATGTGCAACAAAGTTCAGTGGTACATTCTAGTAGAGTAGATCCACTCTTTAGAAAGGCCCAGCTTTCTTCTCCAACTCCAACTTCATTCATATATTAGAGTTGGGAATTACTTTTTAAAAAATTATTATTTTATTATTTCTGTTTTATTTGTAGCTGCACTGTTTCTCCATTGCATCACACAGGCTTCTCTTCTAGCTGTGGTATACAGGCTTAGTTGCCCTGTGCTACGTGGGATCATAGTTCCCCAACCAGGAATTGAACCCAGGTCTCCTGCATTGAAGCCATATTCTTTTAACATCTGAGCCACCAGGGCAGCCCTAACAGTATTCTTAATGGCTTTCAAATTCTGTTACCTCAGATTACACAAGGATTTTTCTATTAGAATTACTTGAAAAAAAAAAAAAAGAAACTGAGATTGTTTATATACATTTCCAACAGGACAAGGGACCTCTGAAATAAGATTAATTAGTACACATATCTGGACCAGGTGTTGTTAACCAATGACTCTATGATGGAAGGAGGTAGGTAAAAAAGTTGAAGTCAGACAATTGATATAAAAAAAGATTAGAGACTCACAGTTACATATAATTTGACAAAGAGGTCAAGCTTAAATAGTTACTGGCCCTTTTGCTCTCAAGTTGCATATTATTATTTAGTGGGCTACATTTTAGTGATATTGTGAGTAAGAGGATGAGGAGTAATTTTTCCACAGTTCTATACCCTCAACAGAGAGAATCCTGAGAACTGCTTCTGAGAACTGGTTGAATATCATGTGAGCACTTAAGGCATAAAGGGTCCACTTCAATAACTCAGGCACCAACAAAGAAAGCTACTCTTGTTTACATGAAAATTCAAGATCACTAGCATAGTCTGTTTCAGGGTACATATGAACTATACAAGCCTCATGCTTCTGACCCTTGTCTTCAAGTCCCTAAACTGGAATAAAACCAATAAATGCCTGAGGAACCACTTCACACCCCAAACACGTGCAAACTTTGTTCCACACAACACTTTACTGCCAAAATGGAGTTGGCAGAAGTTTGGAGCTAAGGCCCCCAGGCTGCATGATTTGCTGGCGCAAGAGAGCTTAAAAATCTTAACATAATACTGCTGAGTTTGAGTTCTACCAATTTGCTTGAGACTCCTTCTCCAAGTTTGATTTGAGAAAAATGGAAGCTGCCATCAAGAAAGACTTTATTAACACTTCAACACCTACTCAGAAATGATTTGATTTCCCGCCCCTGATGGTCATACCTCTATTTTTTGGTGGTTGTATTTATAATTGTAAATCTAATGCAGTCAATTTTGAAATGCATGTAAAGTCAATTTTGCTTTGTTGCTTGGATATAGGGGTACAGGAAGAACTATTGTAAATATGCAAGATTAATTACAACAAAGTTCTACTTAGGAAACACTTCATCCAAATAACCCCCATAGAGCCCAATTCATTACCCTCAAAAAAATATGGGAGAAATTAAAATACAGAATATTTGTAAATTACTATTATTTTACACTTGTTTTAGTTTGTCTTTTCACTTCTTTGAGTTTGAGCAATGCTTTTTTTTTTTTACATAAAAAATATAGGAAGCAAGAAAAGAGGCCAAGATGAGTTATTCTTTTCCACAAGGGTCAACAAAAAGGTCCCATTCAGGACCTTCGTAAGTTTGATGCTATGCAATTAGTGAGGATAATTGCAACTGAATTTAATAATTATAGTGACTACTGGCAACTATACCAGTCACAACTATAAACTTCTAAATACTTGAAAAATATGTAGTATTAAGAAACTATGGTTTGCTTTGGAAGGTTATCTTGTGCTGTTTCAATATGAGATCTTTAAAGATGCTACTTTCTCCTCATATAGCTAAAAACTAAAAATAAATTTATAAGAAACCCCCACACACCTTTATCATCTTTTCCCTTAGTAACTCCATATATTTTATTCATTTCTCTGAAAACCTGTTTTTCCTCCTCTGGAGCCTCCTAAGTATTCTAATTCTCAGCTATGATTTCATATTTTCACCAGCTTCTAATCTTCACAATATAGTTGGAAGCACTTACGACAAAACACTCTAGGATATCAAGTTGCAGAAGACTGTAGTTTTGAACATATTTATATAGTAGTGCTGCCACCTAAAGATGAGGTGAATAAAGAAGCAATTCAAAGGAAATGACCCACCATTCTGAAGCCTGTCACAGAAATTTTCTCATTTCTAACTAGGAATTAATAAACATTTTGCTATTTTGTTAATATGGAAGTTTGTTCCACAATAAATTATTGCTGAATTGTAATTTTCTATAGGAGAAGTTTTCAAACTTTTTAGTGATAAGTAATTTGGGGTCTCCAGGAATATGTCTCCAAACTTGTTTCTCTCAGACATGAGGTACTGCCTACAATACATAAGTGGAGGGGGGTGCGCGGCGGGAACCACAAGATACCCAAAAGTAAACTACTGAGAAATCTCTGGTTTAGTGGATAAAGCAGGTATTAATGGGCCTATGGTGCTTCCCTTCCTTCATCTGTGACAGACTGCTTGCAACTCTCAGCAACTGACATATTTCTGCAGCTCCATTTTCTCATCAATAAAATGGGGTTAATTTCACCTCTCTCCTACTTGCCTCCAAGACTGAGCTAGATAAGTTTCTTGCAAAAGTCCTAAGTGAGTTTATAAGCCTACTCTCAAAAACAAAACATAAAAAATCTATTGCCTAATAAAAAGAGTATCTCAGTGTATTGCAAAGTTACCTCAAAATAAAATATACTCAAATAAGCTAAAACATTGACTAAGTTTTCTTAAATCACAGATTGACTTTTCAGAGAGCTATTTAAATAATAAAAACGTAAGTAAGGCTGTTTTCTGCTTCTTTTGCAGCCAATCATTTTCAACTGATCCGTCTTCTATGTACGCAGTGTTGCAAGAATGAGATGTAACAGCATACAAAGTGAAGGAAAAAGTTAACTTGTACCAAAAGTCTGTCAAAGCTGGTAAGATTTCAAGAAAACTTTTAGAAGGACATTTTGTAGTTTTGCATTTAACCCTAGCATAGCAATTTATGAAAATTAACTCATCCGTTTTACTCTCTCCCTCTCGGCCGAAGGACGCATAAATATTATTTATCAGGGTTTTGTCCTTAGTCACAGTCCCTCAAAGGGGCCCAGTTTCACCTACACTGCGTGGGAGGCTGGGCAGCAACCCCACGCTTCCTGTCAAAGATTCCTGGGGCTAGAGCCTGAACCTGGTCTAGCCCCTTTCTTCTTTCTGCTAATCCTGCCCTTCCAGCCCCTCTCGGCTGGCGTCTGAAGGCCAAGGTGAGACCCTCCCGGGAGATGAAAGGCCTGTCGCCTCCTAAGAGATGCAAGCGGAACGGTGGAGAGTTGGGGGGGGGGGGGGGCGCGGGTGACAGGGTGGTAGCAACACTGACTACGACGCTAAGGGCCCTAAGTTGGGAGCTGACGCAGGCCCTACAGGGTTCTGTCCCCGCCTGAGCCTGGCTTCCGCCCTCAGAGCCCAACAACCGAGAAGTCCTCCCGGGGGCGCTACAGACGGTGGCTGGAAGAAGGGCGGGCAAAAAGGCCGCAGGGAGCCCCCTCCTCAGACGCGCCTTAAGGCCTGGGCCGTGGGCTGTTGACGCGCCAACGGCTGGGAGGGCGCGCGCACGCGCGAGAGGGAGGGCGGAGGGAACGCGCTCGGCGGCCGCCGCCGCGGCAACTGAAACGGAGGGACGCGAGGGCGGAGGGCGCGAGCCACGGGAGGAGGGGGGGGGGAGATGGTGGGTAGCGGGGAGCGCGCGCTGACGTCGCCCGGAGTCACGCACAGAGCGCCGGGTTACGCGCCGACGTCTGGCTGCCACGACTTGCCGTCTGCGGCGGCGGCGGCGGCGGCAGCGAGCGGATCCCGCAGGGGAAGGAGGAGGAGGAGGGAGAGTCAAGGGGGCTGTGAGTGAGCGGGAGAGGCAGGGTGTGAGCCGGACTTGCCAGCGGGAGGGAGAACGAGCGAGAGCCGAGCCAGCCATCCGAGCCGCCTCCTCCTCCTCCCCTCGGCGTCCCGCCCCCGCCTGCCAGCCCGCCCTTCTCCCTCCTCAGCCGGCAGAGCCCGAGTGAGGCGCAGCTCGGCTCGCGCCGCTGTCCAGGACAGGTGTGCGCGCGCGCGCCCTGCTCCCCTCCCCCTTTCCTCGCGCCTGCCTAGCGCCTGCCTCGCGCGCGCCCTCCCTCCCTCCAGCCCGCGCCCTCCCTCACCTGCGGCAGGACAGCGCCCGCCCGCCCGGGTAAGCCCCTCGCGACCTTCTCTGCTGCCACTGCCACAGTTTGAGGTGCCGCCCACCTTGTTCCTTCTGATTGCCCTCTTATACCCCAGGAATAATTACTGTACCGTTGTAGACATCCCCTCACCCTCCCTCCGGGGACCCTGGCAGTGCAGCAAAGCGCCCCCCTCCCTCCGGAGCGCACGAACGAACGAACTCCCTCCCACCTCCAAAAAAAGAAAATCACACGCCCCTTTAAAAAAAAGAAAACAATCCTACCTCCGCAGGCGCTGGAGACCACCAGTGGTACCGTTTGCTTAGAAATCCCTAAGCCTCGTTTCCCCTGGCCACCTTAGCCTGGGGCCTGGGACAGTGCGCCAAACCTGGCCGACACTCCCTGCACAGCACCCCTGGCTGGAGGGGAGAGGAAGGAGGGTTCAAGGCTCCACTACCAACCCCTCCTTTCTCTGTTCAATCCCCACCCCACCCCCGCAATGCATACACCCGCCCAGTATGCGTTGCAAAAATAAAGAAGAATACATTGGTGCTGACAGCGCAGATGAAGCCAGGCCCAGGGATGGGTGGCCCGGACAAGGCATTTTTGCTGCCCCACAGAGCTAGGTCAGCTGCATAGTCTCCTCTGCTTTTGTCCGAGGGCAAAAGGGACGGATGTGAAGTTGGAGGGTCTTCCCTTTGAGCGACGGTAGGCCCCGGCAGCGGCTGAGATGTCAATGGGGAAAGGGACCCCCACAAATCTATCTGCCTTGAGCCTGAATTCGGATAGAGAAAGGCTGAGAGTCCGGCTGGGAGAACGTTGGTTCGTTGCTGTCTACCCCTGAATAAATGCTACTTTAATTTCCGTTGTCTCTGCGGGACCCTCTTGAGGCTTCTAATTTCGTTCTTGTTTGGGCCCCTTACGTTTCGGTCGGACCAGACGTTTGGGGACAGCTTTTTGCAGCGGTGTCTGCGCTTGAGTCCCGTGTCCTTGGAAGGGAAGCCCCAGTGCTTTATAATAGGCTGAATTTGGTTTAACATCTTTTGGTTGACTGTCAGAGGAGGAAAAGGAATTTTTTGATTACTTCAAGACCCTCACTGCTCCCCGCCCAAACTGACGTTTTCGAATTGCGGCTTTGAAAATTGGAGTGTTGACTAGAGTGTGGAAAGAGTTGCTGATTTCATTCCTTTGGGTACTAGTAAAATCATTTAAGAATCAGACGAAAGAGAGTTATTGACATTTGCATCGGTTCTATTTGGATCTTTTGGGTATATAAAATGTCGGGTTCTCTGAATCTTTTATCGAATTTAGAGTGTGTGCTACATTTATTTAATTCTTCTGCAAATGCTTAAAATAACATTTTGTGAAACGTGAGGATTCTATCACATGGATTGTTCTCTTCAGATTTTAAATGTTTAGTTCATATATTTAACCCTAAACATTGAAATAGCATTGGAGAGGCATAGTTTTAAAGATTAAGTAAGCTGTAGAAAGGGGATAGACTTTTAAAAAATGATCGTTGAAATACTATTAGTCGTTGTTGTTAAAATGTTAAGATTTATTTGAGAGTTTCCCTTAATTTTCCCGATAGATAGCCATGAGAAGAAATGGGTAATTCCTCCAGTTTTGAACAGTTGCAGTACAACATTCCAGTTAGTTTTAATGATTTGAGTATTGAAGATAATTGTTGTCTAAAACAGGCATTTAACCTAAGTAGCACTTGAAAACACAAGTACTAATGGTTTTGCTGCTTTTTTATTTGGGAAATATGTGATTCTGTGAAATATTAATGAGTATATTGTTTCTGTTGGAAACTCCATAATCAAGAGTTTATTACCCAGAGATAGATTCCCTCTCTCCAAGTTTATTTTGTAAAGGTGTGTTAACTTTTACTTTTAGAATTAGATTATTTCAGACTCATCCGTAGTTCAGGCTGAGGAAAATGAGGGTTTTTTTTTTCCTTCTTGTTCAGCCTAGTATCTATTTCTCTAGCAAACAATTTTTTGTTGTTAAGAGTTTGTTAAAGATGTAGAAATAGAGGAATTAAAGATAAAGCAATCTCAATTCTCTTCAAAATGTGTATTGTTAATAAGAGAGCACACTGAATCTAGAGATGTTTATCAGGTTTTAAAAATGCAAGCAAACTTTGAGGAGAAAGGGAATTTTTTTATGGTTTTTTCATTAACACATATTTTGTGCATATTAATGTATTTCGTTTTCCCTGTGTCTTTCTTACATTGTGTTGAAACTATAATTTTAATTCTGCAACTATTTGTTTTAAAATAACAATGCAAACATCTAGACACTAGAATTGGCTTTTCATTTACCAAGTTAGCATGTTGTCTTGGTAATTAACAAATGGCTAGATGTGTTTTTAAATCCACAAGTTTGCTCATGGATTTTCTGTGTTAGTATGCAAATCTAACTTTGAAATTCTGTTTAAGGTTCTAACCTCTTTGTTTTAAGACTTTTCTCTCAGACACCCTTTTAAGGGTACTAAGGAAAGCCGCCTTTCCCCACCTCTCCCATTCTGACCAGAAGTCCACACTCACAGGCTTATCCTGAAATAAACTCTCTTGTTTGAGTAGTGAAAATGTGTTAAATATCCTATTTATCATTGTATTATTTTGGGAAAGGCACTATTAACCTTGGTTGCTTTTAGATACATTTACAAACTAGGCAAGAAGCTAGTATATAATGGCAAAATTTTATACATATGTAATAAAGAGCATGAAATAAATACATATTTATGTGGAGAGTTCCAGGTCTCAAGTTGTTAGCTGATTTGAGCTTAAAATTCCCAGTTTATGCGTGCAAATGATATTTAACTTGTGTTTTGTCTAAAAACTTTATCAGTTGCCTCTGTGCTAGGAAACTAAGACATCAGTACCTGGTGACCATCATTTTTTTCTGAAAATAAGGGCATTCCCAAATTCAAACCACTTCAGAACCCTGGACGTAAACATCTGGGACAGGGAAAGAAATTTAGACCCCAGAATTGGTTCAGGAAGGCGGGCAGTTTCAAGCTCTACTTTTTGGTTCTGGGGGAAGCGATTTTTTAGTATGGAAGAGTGACAAGGACTGGCAGCCGCGTGCTCTCTCCTCGCAGCCCCACTGGCCTTTGCTGCTTTGAGCTCTCCAGAGGGGACAAGCGCTTGGTTCAGTGCGAGGTAAAATCACGAGAAGGAATAGCGGCTCTTCTAGATCGGGTCTTAACCTGGTCGTAGTAGTCTCAACTTACAGGTGGGAGCGTAATGCCCCGCCCAGCTCTGTGCGGAGACCATACCACGCTGCCTTTGCGACCCTGTTTGGGACGGGGTCTATCCAGGGTCCTGATCGCTACCATGCAAACCTAGAGGAGCCGCCGCTTCTTCACACTTGCATTTTTGTGTGGTGGGCAGTGCACCAGTTGTTCCTATATCTCCTCCCGACAGACTTGGGGACGGGCGGGAGCGCAGAAAAATCAGCAATGAAAGGGGACTACTCAGTGCTACAGGATGCCCCTAAACTAGGGGGAAGTTCTTTATGGGGCCCAAAACCTGTGATTTCCGTCTCTCACAGTGGGCCTCCTATTCAGAGAGCCATTTCAGGGACAACTGGACAGGTGGGTAGTTCTGAGACTGGTTCACAGGACTATCCCAGTTTTCTTTTCCGAAGTCAGAGTGCTCTGCCCTATTTCTTCCTCTTTAGCGGGAAGTAGTGAACGTCAGCCCAGAGCTGAAGTAGCTACTGCTGGGTTGAATGGGGCCCTTGGAAGAGAAAAAGGAAGCTGTGAATACTTAGCAGGCAGGTTTGCCCAGGAGATGAAGGGATGTATCAGGGAGCTTTAAAGTCTCAGGCGTTGACAAGACTTATACCCTGGGCTGGTCTGGGTTTCTTTTCATTAGTCCCCTCTTTACCCCTTTCTTTTCCAGGAAGTTTGGGC